TTTCTAGACATTTAGGATGCCGAATGCATTTCTTAGATCAACGTTTCATGCTTTCGTAAACTTAATTAGTTCAGCTGCTACGTTTGCTACTACTTATATTTATTGCTTGTTATATCAAATTCTGATTATTTTGATGTCGTTTTTTAGGTTTTCAAGGATGCCAGACTAGCTTTCAATTGAATAACTGCTCAGAACGCATTTTAAGGAGACTTTCTGTGTTCTGTATCATATTGTAATATATTAAAAGCATTCTAAGTTTTAGAGAGCGGCAAATTTGTCTGTTTGTGACCAGGGGAAAAAAAAAAAAAAAAAAAAAAACTTGTCTTAATGTATCCCATTTTGAGTCTAAATCTAATAAATTCGGTTTGAAAATTAAACAAAAACTTAAATTCATATTAGTTATGTAGCAAAAATGTGTACATTTCAAGGAAATCTAGAACAAGCTCCTTTCTTCAAGAAGCAAAAATATGCTGTTTATTCCTTACATCTCATTTTTGCTAAAGCACTGGATATATTAGCCTGATCTTTTTTTCCAATAAAAGATCCATTTTATATGCTAAATCCCATATTATTCTAAAATCTCTTTAAAAGTGTACGGATGTAGTGTATTGATTAAAGCTCAGACGGTGTATAATTCAATTTGGTTTGCGAATGTACTGATATTTTCTCTGTATATAATCTAATTAGTCAATGTGTTTTTGCATTATATAAATGAATATTAACTAATGACATGATGTTATTAACGCACACGGAAAGGTTTTTAAAATCAGATAAGCAACGTAAAACCACTTTCCAAGAGACGTTTTATAAGAGGAATTAAGTGTTTATGTATCGTTTCATCACCTGTTTTTAAAATTATATAAATTTTTTTTTCAATATACCAGTTTGAAATGTATGAATAAAGCTTCAGAATTTCAAGAAGAAATTACGTGAAAATTAGCTTTCCTTTGACTTAAAAAAAGTTTACAGTAGCTATTGAGAAAAATAAACCTGAATAAAAATTCTTCATTCTCCTTTCATTTTTAATTAGGCAAGGGAAATTCAAATAAGCATAATTTAAAGATTCTTAAAAATTTTTCAAGAGAGAGTGAGAGAAAAAAAAAAAAAAAAAACATTTTCTCGTTTTTTGGTAATTTTTTATGGTATTTTGAGAGGTCCGCCCCCCTTTCAAAACATGGCTTGGAATTTTTGAAACAAACAGAGATAATTATTTTAATGCAAGAAAATATTTACCATGTAACGCACAGCTCTATAATTCACAGTGATGATTATTAAAGAACTTAGGATAATTTTCACTTTTTTCTTATCATTTCAAAGAAAATTTTTAATATTATTATTTCACTATCAGTCAAAAATTAAAAAAATAATTAGAGAAATTACATTACGTGTAGCCATTTGAATGTTATATTTCATCAAGCCCGGATCGAATAGGTGCGGGGCCCGATTAGGAATTTTTTTTTTTTTTTTTTTTTTTTTTTTTTTTTTTGCGAGGCCCTCTCTTTATATATTAAATATTTAAATAAAATTCAAATTCAGTATATATATAATATATATATATCAAATATCATGGATCATCAGACAGGTAAATTTCTACATAAATTGAAAAATAAAAATGTTCAAAATTCAAAAACATTTATTGAATGTAAATTTACATCACCGAATATGGATACATGAATTCACATATTTCTAAGTTTTTGTTCTGTAAATTCTTCTAAAATTTTTTAAAAATCTAATTTCCTTGCGTCTTCACTTTTCTATCTTATAAAGTATATATTATATAATAATAAACACATTAATAAATCTCCTCCAGCAATGCGAACTTAAAATAAATATATTTTTAATTATTTGAATAATTCACAATTATCCATTATCGTCAAAAGTAATTTGCTTTAAATTTCAAATGTTTTTTTTTTTTTTTTTTTTTTTTGTTCATTTTGAGGGTAAAACGGGGCCCTTTCAAATGCGGGGCCCGTTTGTGCTCAATCGCTCGAATCGACCTTCATCCGGCCCTGTATTTCATAAGGGTTTTTCAAAACTTAATGAATAATATCGTTTTAGAAACATAGCAAATAGTCAGCTATTAATTCATTTATTTCAAAAAATATTTATTGCTTGTATTTACAAAATATTCTCTTTTACCGTTTTTAAAATTTGTTATATTGTTTCTTTTTTTTCTTTAATGTGTTTCAAATTATTTCCTTTATTCGCTAACTGATGTCGCCACTTCACAAGAAAACTGTATTATTCTAAATCTCCACGGGATGGCACCACTTTCTTTTTAGGATTAGGAATCTATGAAAAGCATGGAATGAAAGAATGGAACAAAATTCATGTAGACAGAAACGCACTATTATATTTTACAGAACAAATTTTATGAATAAAGAAGCATTTAAAGTTTAAATAATAAGGGTAGATTTGCTAGTTTCATTTAACCCAAAGCTTTGGTGATCTAGGTTTACATCCAATGAATTAATTAAATTCATCCCAAACTTAAGAAAGGCATAGGGAAATATATTCTTATCTCAGTTATTAAATAAAACAGCGTTTAATAGATATTCAGGAAGTTGAAAAACCTCTGAAAATGTGTCACTCTTAAGAAAGTAATTCTTGCAATTTTCTGTTAGCCAGAAATGTGTAAACGTTATTAACTAAAAATTCAGAAAATTTTCCCAGCTGTTTGTTGGCGGACTCTGTTAGCTTTGAATTCTGTTATCTTCTGTAAACAAGAGACGAAGCAAAGGATTTGATCTTCGACATTTCAAAACAGAGTTCTTCGAAATTTTCGAATTATTTAAGAATTTCACGCTGCTTGATTGCAAACCTTTTTTTTTTTTTTTGCGGAATGGCAACAGCTCGTAAAATTTACGATTGTGATTACGATTGTCCCCGCAGTGCAGGGAGAAAGTTATGCCACATACGCATGACGTCATGTGGGTGACAGAGTTAGTTCTTGGTGTTTGTTTACTTTCGTTGCATCAACAGTTTGATTTGATTTGTGTTGTTAATTTGCTATTATACCTAAGCGGAAGTGGCAAATTGTGCTATAGCGTTGTGTCAGAATTATACACGTTAATACTTTTTTTGGCGGAAAACACTTTTTACAATCAGATAAAATAACTATTTTTTTAATGAATTTATGTAGTTTTCATACATAACTGTGATGTAATTTACATTTATTTTTCATTTTACTGCTATTTTACATTTAAATTGAAAAATTTCTCATTTAAATAATTTTTATCATAATCTTCATTTTTGTGTATGAGACTTACATCGTAGTGAGATATTTAAACTCAGTGTCATGTTTACCAATACTGAGTACCTGAATGAATTAGTTAATAAATTCGCTTATCCAACTTTCATTCACATGTTTTGGTTACTTTCTTTACATCCCAAACGTAACTCTATGTATTGAAGCAGCGTCTGGGTTAAGCATTGCAAACTAAGTAAACTAATACATGCCTCACCGTGAGGAAAGAACAATTTCTCGACCACACTATGATGCAAACATCGAATGAGTGAGTGACATATTTCCTTCAGTGTATATTTAACTGATGCATACAGGTATGTGTGATGTAATTTAATTGATATAACTAAATGAACTTATCCATGCTTGACCCTGAAAGGAAAACAAATCTGTGTATTAATGCTGGAATACAAATAGCGAAAGATTAAGTAAGATAAGGTCTGTTCAGTGTTATTTAACTGCTGCATATGTTTTAATTTTGATTCCATATAATAACTTGTTTTTAATTATAAGAGAAAGAAAAATAATTCAATATTGAACACATATTTCGAGTATAACAAAAATTTTAAGAAACAAGCTAATAAAAATACATTAGTAATTAAAATATTTAATTTTGTGTACAGACTGAATTGAAATTAAGATGTGGTGGTGTATTTAATTATGGCAAAGCACACTAGGGCTATCTGCGTAATAGGTGTGATGCCTTCGTGGAGGACTTCCTCAGGGAAACTGGCTCGTATACACGTTACGCATGAGGAAAACCACGAAAAACACCCATGCAGCCAGCCCGTTCGCGGGATTCGAAACCGAACTACCCAGTGTTCAGCGACTTTACCGCTCGGCCGCTGTGTGGCCGAAACTAAGATGCAGGCAAGTTTATTATTATTATTATTGTGTGTATATGTGTAAGAAAATGTATTTTAATTGTTCCATTTTTAATGTATGAAAGGAAGAATAGGATGCCAATATCGAAGATTATTTACTATAGCAAATAATCACGTCAGGATAAATGTTATATAGAAATCTGGGAGTGTAAGGGATTATAAGAGTACTTTTAGATTATACTGAAAATATACGCACTTCTGCTAAAATCTGAAGTGAATCAGTATGAAGTGACTTTTCACTTAAAAAAGAATGTGATAAGTGTACTATTTAAAAGTATAATGACGGATATTAAGAAATTTGTAGAATTTTATGGTATTTAAATATGAATTTGTTAAGTCAAATCTTTTTATATATATTTTTGCTTGAGATATGTAATTTGAACTGAAAATCACGATCATATATTTCTCATGGAAAGTGCATGGGCAATGAAAATAAATAGAATAATACTTTTTGATTATGTTTCTACCATGGTCTTAGCAGTTATGCCATCATGTGTTCTGTTCAACAAGATTTATTTAGTGCAAACAATACTACGAAAAATATTGAAAAATACCTTGCTTTACAATATTTATTTCCCTTAATTAACTTAAATATCGTTTTTCATTTTTAATGCTTTCCTTTAACGAAAGAATTTAATGTTTACAATTATTTTAGTATTCGTACGAATTCTGAATGCATAAAATAAACATTTTGCTTTGACAAAATACTTAATCGGAAAGTATATACCCGGTATTTCCAGTATGTGATTATACATACTACATGTAAAATGATAATTTTGCTTTAGTTTACATTTTTTCCATTACCTGAAATCATGCAGCACACGCGTCGACAGATGTATCTTGTCACTCATGGCTGACACTCAGGCTCACTCGGGTGACGTCACTACCAGCAACCAAAAGCACGCTTTTTCCGTTCCTGGCCTAACCTTAGTATATTAAAGAACCTTGGCAAATAACTAACAACTAACATGTGGTGTTTGGAATTAAGTATATGCTGATTTTCCTTTTTTTCTCGTATATGTGCTAAAATAATTATGTTCTTCCTTAGTCAGCAATCAGTCAGGTTAGTAATAATTTTGTGTTTGTTTGAGGTTATGCAATTTTATTCTTATGTAAAACATACCTGGGTAAAATTTTATTAAGTTATTTTTAAGTTGATGTTGTTCTTAGGAGTTCTATTTATGAAGCAAACTTTCCATCTAGAAGCTAAAATATAAGGTTTGGATATGATTGATGATCGAATATAGCAAAATGGAATTAGTTATGTAGAGTATGTATTTCTGTAAAAAATCGTACTGGCATATAAAATGCAAAACACTTTTCTTCCGCCTTTCTAATCTAAATTATTTACTGTTATTTTATTTACATGGGATCATACTGCATATCTATTTCAAGTACTTTAAATTTTTTTCAAACACATTTAAAATTTATCAAAAACTTTAAATTTAATTTTTCTGTCTTTAAATTTTTTAATTTTACGAATTTGTAAACTGGAATTTATGTGGACTTCAAATGGAAATTAGTTTTCTTTCTCTGTTTCACTCTTTAGTATTGGAATTTTAATAGGAGTATTCCTCTTTCATTCTTATGATTATGTTTAATTGAATCGTTGCAGCCTAGGTGCAGGATTCATAATAGTCCTTTCTTCCTTTTGTTTATATATATAAATGTGTGTGTGTGTATATATATATTTCTGCCTTTCTGTGCAGCTATGCTTCTGCCTTTCTGTGCAGCTATGCTTCTGCCTTTCTGTGCTTTTGATATTCAGTAATAAGAATTCTAATAACTTATGAACATTATATGGGAAATTTCTCTATAGTTCATTCTTTCAGCTAACAAAAGTGCTGTCATTACCTATAGCGGAGTGGCTAAAACTTTGAAACATGGGTAAGGTAATTTGTTCATCTTCAGTCCTCAGCAGTTGAACAGTCAGGTTATTCGGTTTTCTTATAGGTGTTCATGTTTAATATAGCTATGGGTTGGTATCCCTTAAAAAGTACTTCATGAAGATATTCCCCCATACCAGAGGTGGGGAACCTTTTTACGATTAGAGGCCACATTTAAATTAGGCAGCAATAAGAGAGGCCGCATAAGCTGATTGACCTAAGAAAGTGACTTTTGTGAAATTATTATAGTTTTTCTATAGATTTAACAATTTATTTCATTATATAGAAAAAATAAAATATAATACTACAAAATTTTAAATATAATATACATATAAAAATATTATAAAAAATATTTTTTTATTCACTAAGTTAATGACTTATTTGGCTTTATTTTTTGTTTGACAGTAATTGTATATTTGGATCAAGCTTCGTAACACACAGCTTTAATTGATCCTCTAAATGTGCATCTGTAATTTGCGTTCTTAAATTTGTTTATATTTTTGACATGAGAGAAAATGTTGTCTCGCAACAGTAGGTACTTTCGAAGCAGGAAAGTAAACGGCGAGCATGTTCTCGAAGGCATGGATATTCAACAGCATTTTTCCAGATTTCTATGGGATCCTTTTTAGCATTAAAAACGGATTTGATGATACTATCTTCCCCTAAATCAATTAACTCCATTTGTAGTTCTGCAGGAGCCTTAGATATATATATTAAATGTGATTCAAATGCCAGTTTCATAGCAGGAGCGTGCTCGTCAAAATCAGAAAATCTATTAGTATACTCTTCTATTAAACAATCCAAGACACCTACATATTCATCGAATATTTTATTTTCACAGTTCTGCTCATTTAACATTTTAGCTAGCTCCGGGAAGTGTTGTGCAGATATTTCCGATCGACAAAGCAATGTTTTGAAAAATGATAATTTTTTTCTAAACGCTTGGATCTTTTGCCACATTTCATAAATATACCTCGTTTCACCTTGCAGACAAATATTTAAATTCGTTTTGTTTTGTTATCATATCAGACAAAAATGCAAGGTTTCTGAGAAATACTTTCATCTGATAGATCACATTGTTTTCCTTGTTCTTTATAAAAGTTTAAAATTTGTCGTCGTAAAGACAAAACTTTTATCAAAAACCTGACCTGTTGATAGCCAGCAAACCTTGCAGTAGTATGGCTAGGTCAACACTATACGTTTCCTCATCTAAATGAGAGCATCTGCCGAAATTCACGATGATGCATTCTATTTACGCGAATATAGTTGACAATGGCAATGGTTCTATCCAGAGTGTCTTGCAAAATGATAGATTTTGCGCAAAGATTTTGCTGATGCAAAATGCAGTGAAATGATATCAATTTTTTCAAGTTTAAGTTTTCCTTTTTTAACAAAGCAACGAATCCTTCTTTTTTGCCTCTCATGGAAGGTGCGCCATCGGTGCAGACACTGACTAAATAACTGACATTCAATTGTAATTTATTACATACTTCTTTGAAGTTTTCGAAAATATCGAGTTCTTCCAGGAGCGCGAGTTCTTCCAGTTAGTGTACCCAACGCAAGTAGTTCTTCGTAACATTGAAAATCTTTAGTTATAGCACGAATAAAATATAAAACTTGTGCCGAATCTGTTTTATCAGTGCTTTCATCTAAAGCAATTGAAAAATAAACATCTTCACTTTGTATAATTGCATGAAGTTGCTCTGTTACATTTTGCGCTAATTCGTGCTGTCGATCTGTTACAGTTCTTCTTGAAAGAGGTAATTGTTTGTATTTGTCGACATTTCTTGCATCTAACATACTCACTGCTTCAACAATACATTCTTTAATTATTTCAATGTCACTAAATGGTTTGCCCCTTTTCCAAGTATATGTGCTATTTTATACGTAACAGCAACTGCAGCGGAATTTTTTGATTTACAAAGGCACTAAAAGATGCCTGCTGATGATGCTTCTCATTTTTCAACTTTTGTGCAGCTTTTCGTGATTCACCTTCTAAAGTGAAATATTTATGTTCTTTATGAGTCAAATAGTGTTTATTTGCATTCGCTTTTTTTAAAGTATTTAAAACTGTATTGCACAACAAACACACATCATTTTATCTTTCTCAGCAGTAAAAAAAAATCTAACTCCCATTCTACATTAAATGTTCTGTTTTCATCACCTAATTTTCTTCTCTTACTATTTGACATTATGGATAAAAAAACGAATATCAAATAATATCTTTAACAAGTGGTGTACTTTCTAGAAATACAATAAAACCATGTACCTGTTATAAGCATGCACTGTTAACTACAGTTAGCTGAAGATCGCAACAGGGAAGCGTTGAGAGATGCGAGTCAGAGAAGCCAAAGCAAGGTGTGACACTCAAATGGGAGATCTAAAACCGAGTTTTGTTTACTTCTTAGACAAGGTAGTTGGCGCTGCTAGCTGTGGGCCAGAGCCTCGCTCATGCGTGTTAGAGTCCGTTTCAGACTAGTATTCTGACGTCATGTTACAATATTACTGTCTTTGGCGGGATTTTTCGCACAACTGTCATGGCCTTGATGTACAGTAGTTGTTTGAAACAAACTCTACCATTTTGTACTAAGTGGCAAAGGGCCGCACAAGAACCTCGCGGAGGCCGCAGGTTCCCCACCTATGCCCTATACCAATGGTATTAAAATGGCTGACTGCATGCTGTCCTGATGCAATTTTATGTGGCACCCGAAGATATTTTTGTTATGATGTTGCAAAGATTTCAATATTTTAGCTATTTGAAGTCGTATTATTTTTGGTTAAAATTACTCTACTGTACCTGTTGGCAATTCGTCTCTTTTTTGACGCCAAGATCGGTGACAGGAAGGATCAGCACCAATTTCAAGATGGTGCCTATCCTTCCGCCCGCTACACAAAACCACAGAGTTTATGTAATTCTTAGACTTACATAAACTCTGTGGCCATCTATATATTGACCTATTTTAACTTGAAAAACATCAAAGGCGGAAGAAGAGAATTGCACAAATGAGGCACTGCGCACTTGTCTATGTACATATCAATCTATTTTCTCTTAAACAAAATAAGGAAGCTAAAACAAAGTTAAAACTATCATGGTAACCAGAAAAAATTTGCCACTGTCTTCATACAGAGATGAACAAATAACCAAAAATACACAAACAGAGAATAATAAATAACCAAAAATACATATTTCCTAACATAAAAACATTAAACAACAAATTTTTTAACATAAATTAACAGACAGAGACGATTAAATAAATGAAACATAAATTTTTTTTTACATGCATATGTTCATGCTCCCCACTACTATTTCCTCCATCCATGTAAGCAATTAATTAAATTTTCGGTCGCTTTGGCTCATCGGCTGTTAATTGACATTCATCTTCTTACCCACCTCAGACATACTCAAATGATGATACCCACACTAAAATAATAGCAAGTTCAAAATCCAAGAACATACCACGCACGTGCAAGCAAACACAGCAGTTGTAAACCAAGCCTGGATCCATACGAAAGGGTTACTATTAAAAAAAATAGCCAAAATCTAAATTTATCACAATACGTTTGGCGACATTCACAGAAATAACCCATTTTTAATGACAAAAACTAAAAAAAAAAAAAAAAAAAAAATTTTTCCCCAAGGCTAGTTTTGCCAACATTATCAACATTATGGTTACCGAAAACCTATTTCATGCAGTGGGCTTCCAGATTTCACGAACAACCAATACCACTTGCCGATTTTTTCAGACAGAAACCAAATAGTACCATATAATAAAGGTCAGCTTTATTTTCATTTCCACTAAACATGAATAATGCACCTGAAAATCTATAAATTCAGATACTTAATTTACAATGTGATATAAATCTTATTCAAAGACTTAAAGATATAAATTTTCTTTTATTCATTCTTGCCAAAAATAAATAAGCTCAGTTATGAATTCTTGCAAGTAAACTTTTTTTAATGCATTTTTATGTGAACATATCTTTTTTACAGTTGAAAATTAATAAGAAAGAACCTGATGGACCAATAACATCAACAATCTATTTTGAAGATAATTACTAGTAACTTCTCTCCAATGCTAGACTTAAACACAATCAAAATGCCATCAGATGTCAAGCTTTTATAAGAAATAAAGAAGTGTATAATTATTAGCATACAAATACGTGTATTTTTATTTAT